CACAAATCTACATATCTAACTTTACTACCTACTCTCTCTGATTCAGAGCAAATTGGTTCATCTTCCGCACCTTATTTTCTCATCTACATAATAAGAAAATAAAACTACTTGACCCAATGCATTATTGTAAGGATTAAATGAGTTTATATAAGTAAAGAACTTAGAGCAGCATATGGCATAAAGTGAATAAAGCTGATCTGATTTATAATGACTAAACTCACAAAGTTCTGACTTTACATTGAAACAAAAGTGATACGTATTCAGTAGAAATCATACTTCCAGTACACCTACAACTATTCTATTTTTCAGTTTCAGTATAGAATTCATTAAATTCTATGAGTTATTCAACACTTCATTAAAAAATTGGTTTTGCATTAGATTATTTTTGCCTGAACATAGATTAATGTAAGTTTTGGGGGCATGTTTAAGGTAGATTAGGCTAAGCTATGATGTTAAGTAGATTAGGTGCAATAGGTGCATTTCGATTTTTAACTAATGATATTATCAATTTATCATTGTTTTAGCAGGACTTCACCCCATTCGAAGTTGAGGAAGCATCACAACTACATTCACAGTATAATGTGTACTAAAAACCCAAGTAGTAGTTTTGGATCACCTGATCATTCCTTCACAAAATAAAGCTTGAAAGTACATTTGTGAGGCACTTCAGTACATTTTCTGAGTTCAAGTGTGTGAATTGTTTTGATTTGCAGTGGCAGAAACCATTTTTAATATAAATTATGGTTGTTTACAGTATTATTCCTCCTAAACTACTGAAACAAATTCAACAAATTTTATAGAGCAAACCCTCTGTTCACCGATGTTCAATATCAGCACATACTTAAAATTACTGCACTTTCATACTAACAAGAGGGCCTCACAGAACTAAATACTTGAAGTACTTTCTCAGTCATTGAGGAACATGAACACTTCTATTCCCACATAGACTCAAAAATAAGTATATTTTACTTTGGAATTAATCATTTGAAAATTAGACACAGTTCAAGAAGGTAAATACAGCTCTACAGATGGAGTTAGAATATTTGGGTTCATGAGTTAACTCTACAACTTTTCAGCTGTGTATATGAGTATATAAGTTACTCATTTATTCTAAAACTTTCAACTCTGAAGTAAGAGGTAGTGCTTACTTTTTCTTTTACTTTTTTTTTTTCAGATTTTTGCTACAGGGCATGTGCATTTGCTGGAGAGAGAGAGAGACAGAGAGAGAAGTGGAGAGAGAGAAAAGAGAAAGTGAGAAACCACTCCCCAGGGGGAATGGCCACAGTGCAATCATTTTGCCTCCATTCTCTCTTGGGATTTTAGACACACACACACACACACATACACACACACACATACACACACACACACACACACACACACACACACTCAATGTGGTTTTCAAGTCACTGGGTCCAGGACTTGAACTGTAGTCAGCCATGTGGGAATCAGCACTTTAACCACCATGCCACCTGCTGGCCCAATAATGCTTACTAAATTTATTTTTTGGAGCTATTATAAGGAATGAATAAAATAATGTGCATTAAGATGCATTTATTTAAATCCGTGGTTTAATACATGATAAATGTGTCAGTATCTGTCATATGTCATACATTGTGCTAAATGTTTTACATAAATTATCTTCATCACAGTAAAATAATTATGTATGTACTTTGATTATTTTCATTGTTAGATGGAACTGAATCTTAGAGATTTCAGTAAATGGAAATTTAAAAAATATTAAAGTTTGCATGCATTACCATTCTTCCCAAAATGTGTGATTGATCATAATAGCCCTTTGAAAATTATATTAGATATCACAAAATTCACTATATTCAGTGCAAAATATATTATGAAATAACTAACATCTACTTATCAGCATAAAAATTATAACATTTGCTTAGATTTTACTAATTTAAGGGTATTAATAATGATATAGGAACATGGCATAAAAGATATTTTGACCTTTAAATTGAGGGTTTAATATATAATGAATGTGCTAAGTTATCCTCCCTTTTTGTGAGAAAATTGAGAGCAGCTTTTTAATGTTCACAGATAAATGTTCACTGTTCAGAATTAATCACAAATTCTCTAGGAACCTTTGAATGCCTTTTATGTTGAATATTTATATACAGTATTAAAGCACATTTACAAGCAAACGTTATATACATATAATCATATACATCATAATTCACTGAATGAAGGAAAAGAAAGGATTAAAAAACAAAGAAGTAAATACCCTTTTCCGAGTCTTCTCCTTTAGGAAAGGCCGGATCACGGTGTACAGGGCATGGATATACCAGGGTTGATTGACAAAATGAATTCCTCCAAATCGTGCTGGGAAACTATCCTGGAGTAATACAGGGGGGAAAACATGCTTTAATATATTAAAGCTTAAGGAAGGCTATATGGTATATAAGTTTGTTATTCCACACACTCAAATAAAATTATCTACTTAATTAAGTAGTAGAAGACAGGAAGCAGAACCTTACCACAGTAATACATTTCATGCAAAAACTGAAGCACTGTATACCAAATCAAGTCTTCCTCAAGAACAGATCGTTGATAAGAATTTCAGCATTTTTAGGACAGCGATATTTTAGGTCAGCAAAATTCTAATGATCATTACAGGTCGAGAAACAAAAAGTCATTAGAGATTTGCCAAATAATAAAACTATGTTGGATAAATGTTTTATTTAAATTAGTAGATTTATATTAAAATTAATTTAAATTAAAATATATTAAATTCCAATATCTGAGCCCCAGTGTAGTCACCTATAATGTGAACAATGTCACATATCAAAGCTCACTTTATTTACTTCATCAACTTTGTTATAAACATTCTCCTTTTCTTATTTTAATTACCAATAATAAAACAAAACCTACTTAAGCAAAATAAAAACCTTGAGTTGAACTGTAAGAAGCATGAGCATGCATTTTGCTAAGTTAAATAAAAGTTATAACATGAGGCCGGCAGATGGCATTGATGATTAAGGTGCTGGACTCCCACATGGTCAACTGCAGTGAGCATCCCAAATCTGGAACCTTGTTTTCTCATTTTTCCTTTCTCTCTCTCTCTCTCTCTCTCTCTCTCTCTCTCTCTCGTCAAATTTAAAAAATAATAATAAATAAAATTTAATCAAATAATTCTTTTTTATTTTAAATTTCTTTATTTTACATTCATTCACTGTACATCAGCATACAAAATGAGATTTCCCAACCAGAATACACTGTATATTGACTTATTCAAAGATACTACTATACATGTTATCATCAACAAACATTTTTCCATTTCTTTTTTATTATACATTTTGCTTTTATTCTCCCCTTGATTCCCTACTTCTGACCTCCTGGATTATAAAATAATTCTTTAAAAAAAAAAAAAAAACTCAAAGCTCTCTAAACTCACTATAAAAAAGTAAAATGGGACTATCTTGAAGACAGCCTCTTCTCAGCAAGAGGTCCCTTCTCCAAGAAGTAAGATTTGAATCTGCAGTAATGTAGAGAGGTCTTTTCTTCCTATCTGTGATTTAATAGGCGCATCCTTAGCCTACTCTGAAGTAGGAAAAGAATCCTTAAAACAAATGAATTACCGCAATTGACACACTTTAGTATGCTAAGTATGCTACATAAATGGACCATATTTTTGTTTCTAGTTCAAAATTACACACTAAACTGACTACAAAGGCCTTCTTAAAGAACAACAACAAAAACATAACAACAAAACAGCTATGCTAGAAGTGTCTTTCAAGAGGCATCATCATAATCGGCATTCTGCTGGATTGTATTTAGAGCATGAACAGGAAAAAAAGAAAAGTAGAAAGTAAAGGAACTGAAATAATTGTAGATGCACTTTTTTTTTTTAAAGTTTGCTCTAAGGCATGTGCACTTGCCGGAGAAAGACCGAGACAGAGGGAGACAGAGAAGAGAGAAAGTGAGAAAGCACTCCCCAGCGGGGATGGCCACAATGTAATCCCTTTTCTATTCTCTTCTTGGATTTTGGCCATGTACACATTTATACCTGGTGTGTTTTCAAGCTCCCAGGTTTAGGACTCTAACCATGTAGTTGGCCATGTAGGATCCAGCTGCCTTAACCTCCACACCACTTCCTGCCCCCAGCCCATTTTTTAAAATTTAATGTTCTCTTGAATAGGACTCTCTAGTCAGAAACCTGCCTGACATAGCATAATCCTATTAAAACATTTTGGTGGGGACAGCAGGTGGTGTGGTGGTTAAGGTGCTGGACTCTCACAGGACCAACTGAGCTTAGAGTCCTGACCTGATGGCTTGAGAATTATGCTAGATGTGTGTGCATGCATGATGCCCAAAATCCTGAGAGAATGGAAGAGAAGGGATTGTGGCATGGCCATCCTCCCCAGGTGTGATTTCTCACTTTCCCTCTCTCTAACTCTCTCTGGAAAGTGCACACTCACTATGGCAAAATTAAAGAAGAAAAAACAACGTTTTTTCATTTAGGACACTTATTAGCATTCGTGAATTCATTTAATGGTTTTGCATACCTGTTTTCAAAGCTAATGAACATTATTTTATAGGACAAATTTTCTCTCTGAGTCTAGCACAGTATAAAGCAACTTTCAAAATAAATACATTAAAAGAGTTGAAGGAAAAATGTGTCTCCTTTAGTGCCAGTGTCTTACTATTTTTATAAATATGGAGTTTTCACTCAGCAAGAGGTTATTACAATAGTAGAAATGAGCCAGATAAAAATGCAGACATAGTCTGTTTTTAAATTAAAAAGTTTTATTCATGAAAAGAAGATAATGTATATAAACAACAAAGAGAAAACTAATGTAAACACTCTCCATATATTTTTAACATATAGAACATGGTTGATATCTTTGATTTGACTGTATTCATATTCTTTCACTTTCCTCACATTTTAAAATTTCATATTATGATTCTTGCTTATGTTTTTAATTTTGTTTTATAAATATTTTATATTTATAAATCTTTTATTAATTTCATATATTTTATCCATTATATTTCTTCTATTTTATATATTACTATACATGTACTTCTAAAATATATCAAGTTTTTTAAGAACTTAAATCCTATAAAAATGTCATCACAGTGTATGTATTCTTCAGCTGACACATAACACTGTTTCAGAGGTTCATTGTGTTTGATGTCTCTACCTTTTATGAGTAGCTCTATAGTTCACTGCCACCGCTGTATAGTATGCCATTATATAGTACACTCTAACTTATTTTCTTACATCCATGCATGTTGTTTTTAGGTTTGGGGAGGGGGATGCCATTATTAGCATTGCTGCCCTGCAGACTTCATTCTTAGACATAGTTCTTGCGTGTGTTCAAGCATATATATATATATATAGTATTTTCTCAAGTGTTAATGTTGAGTCAGAGTGAATATACTTCAACTTTACAAAATAGGTAGTTATTATACCAACTTACAGTCTCGATTTTACCTAGTAATGCATCTAGGTAATGTCAAGCTTTCTCATTTCTCAGCAAAAAAAAAAAAAAAA